CCTCTATCTATTGTAGGACTCAGGTGGTTAAATTCCAATTTCCAAATGAACCTATTTTAGAGTGGAAAGGAGTGAATTCTATCCCTAGAGGTCAATTTGTTTCTTGCCTTAAAGCTAGGAAAATGATCTCCAAAGGGTGCATTTACCATCTTGTTAGGGTTAATGATGTGGAGTCCGAAACCCCTTCTCTACAGTCGGTTCCGATAGTGAATGAGTTCCAGGAAGTTTTCCCCAATGATTTGCCCGGTATTCCTCTCGAGAAGCAAATAGATTTTGGTGTTGATATTTTACTGGACACGCAACCTATCTCCATTCCTCCATATAGAATGGCTCCGACGAAAAAAGAGTTGAAATAGAAACTAAGGGATTCATTAGATAAGTGCTTCATTCGACCGAGTATCTTTCCATGGGGGTGCTCCAGTGTTGTTTTTTAGAAAGAAGGATGGGTCTCTTACAATGTGCATCGATTATCGTCAATTGAATAAAGTGACCATTAAGAATAAATATCCCCTTCCGAGAATTGATGACTTATTTGATCAACTTCAAAGGGCTAGATATTTCTCAAAACTAGACCTTCGTTCGGGTTATCATCAATTAAGGGTGAGAGGGGTTTATATTCCCAACATGGCCTTTAGGACCTAGTATGGTCACTATGAATTTGTGGTTATGTCATTTGGGTTAACAAATGCTCCGGCGGCATTTATGGATTTGATGAATAGGGTGTTTAGACAATACCTTGATATGTTTGTGATTATGTTTATCGATGTTATTTTGATTTATTTGAGGAGTGAAAATGAACATATGGACCATTTGAGAATTGTGTTGCAAGTTCTTAAAGACCAACAACTTTTTGCAAAGTTTAGCAAGTGTGAATTTTGGTTAAGGCCCGTATCTTTCTTTGGTCATATTGTGTCAAACAAGGGTATTGAGGTAGATCCTAAGAAGACAGATGTGGTCAAGAGTTGGCTTAGACCTCTAACTCCTTCCGATATTATAAGTTTTTTGAGTTTGGCCGGTTACTATAGGAGGTTTGTTGAGGGATTTTCCTCCATTGCTTCTCCATTGACAGCTTTGACCCAAAAGAAGCCTAAGTTTGAGTGGTCGGAGGCTTGTGAGAAAAACTTCCAAGAGTTGAAAGATAGACTTACTTCCACTCCGGTGTTGACCTTACCGGAGGGTACGAATGGTTTTGTTGTATATTGTGACGCCTCTAGAGTTGGGTTGGGATGTGTGCTCATGCAAAATGGTATGGTGATTGCCTATTATTCAAGGATACTCAAAGTACATGAGAAGAATTATTCGACCCATGATCTTGTATTAGCGGCGATAGTATTTGCCTTGAAAATATAGAGACATTACTTGTATGGGGTCCATGTGGATGTTTTCATCAATCACAAGAGTCTTCAATATGTGTAGTCAAAAAGATTTGAATCTCCGACAAAGAAGGTGGTTAGAACTTTTGAAGTATTATGACATGAGTGTCCTTTACCACCCCAACAAAGCTAATGTTGTAGCGGATGCACTTAGTAGATTGTACATTTGTAGTGTGGCTCATGTAGAGGATGAAAAGAAAGAATTGGTTTGTGAGGTGCATAGATTGGCACGACTAGGTGTCCACCAAGGGTGGTGTCATGCTCATATGGGTCCAAATCGTCCTTTGTGATGGATGTGAAGGCTAAGCAAAGGCTTGATCCTATATTGGTTGAGTTGAAAGAGTCGGTACTCAAGAAGTCCGTTGAGGCCTTCTCCACTACAACATTTTAGGCCTACGGCCACTCCAGTAAAGTGTAGTCTAAACTAGCAAAAAGTGTGGCCTTTGATAAAAGGATACACTTTTGGACTTTCAGTAACGCTTTTTAGGTGGTGGCCTAAAGAAGCGTAACCTTTGACATTAGGCCATACTTTTGAAATGTAGCCATAGCATCTACACTTAAAAAGCATGGCCAATGAGGTATAAAGGGCACACTTTGTAATAATTCATTAGCAACACCTTTGTTTGATTATACTACACTTAAACGCGTGGCCTTTGTTTTGTTATTGGTCACACTTAAAAAGTGTTGCCTTTAATATGTCATCTACAACAACACTTATAAAGTGTAACTTTTCTTATGTACAACATAAAATTTGTAATCAGTAAGCTGCACATTGGACGTCCCTATAGCATCACTTTTGAAGTGTGGCAATGTTGTGTAGAATTTTTGTAGCCACAATTTTTCATTTTTAAGAATATAATTTTTATTTGCATATATTCAATAATCACATAATTAAATATATAAGTGATCTAAAGCACAAAATTAGCTAATAAATAATCAAAGCTATATATTTCAAATAAACTTCGAGAAACATGTCTTGTACAACCAATACTTAGAAAGCGATTGCTTAAAGATGTCTACTATCAATAAATTCCACAAAACCAAATGCATTCAAAAAAATATGACAATAGTACAAAAACTTTTCATCATTCACTACAATAGATCGAGTTTACTTCTGGCCACTATTCAAATTCAATTACCGACATTTTCTTGCACATTCAAAATAAAATTATAAGTTAGTGAAAATAAATCATGTATTTGTTATGCTCAATACTAGTCATTTTTAACAATACTTCCCAGCCCCTTCCCAATGTAGTGGTACTGTTATGAAAAAACACGACTCTTAGTTGCTATTAAAACATATATTTCATATGCTAATAACATGTCACAGTAAGTAACTACAACAAAATCCATTTTTCCAATCAACTGTTGTTACAAAAACTATAAAATCCAAGTTCTACATGTATTCCAAGACTCTTTCGGCAATAAATCTGGGAGAAAAGAACAAAATACTTAAATGATCACTCACAAACATTACCTATTGCAAAAAAAAATTCCTTTACAGGAGGATATAAATATCATTCCATGGGAAGCACCAAGTGTCTTTTGAGAGCACAAAGAAGATGTACAACCAAAGATCACAATAATTTTTATGCCAACAATATGAACATAACAAAAAAGCTCATAATACAACAAACTGTAACTTCTTTTCCTTCAAAGACGTCTCTCCCATCAGTAAGATAAAAAAAAACTAAATGCAGTCTACTGGTGCATCTTCACTTTAAATATTTGAGGAAAAAAATTATAATATAACTCCAAATATTGCAGGGTTGAGCATTGATGACCAAAATGATGTCGGTCATTTCATAACGCAAATCTGACTGTACAGGTCAAAATGTAAAACCTCATGTGGGCATTTCTTAAACTTTCTTTTATGTCTTTTGGTGTTGGCTATAATGTCTAGTTCATTTTATTATAATATAAGCACAAATGAGATACATAACATGCACATCTGGACATTTCATCAATATTTTTTCATCTACTATCTAGCATACATTATCACCACGTTAATCCATACTAAAATTGGAAGGAGAGCATGGTTAACTTACATCCTTATGATCCACTGTAGAAGACTGTGGCATCTAAAAAGATGAGCAAGAGATGACACGAATATACAATCAATATAGTTGCATAACAGTATTTAATAACATATGACATTAGAAATTGTCAATAGGTGATACTATGCTATCTAAATGTGGTAAGTGAACACTCACCTTGTTTGGTTGTGTACTACAAAATGTTAATCGGACATGCTGAAAATCAGTTTGTTTGGTCATATCAAATTTAACAGGTCATTGTCATTCGCACAAGTCTCCAATTTAAAAGGATGATTTTTAAAATCAAACAGAGAAACACCAACACCATTGAATGTCTTATTTTATGGAGTAACACTTGCACTAGAGTTCCTGCAAAATCTAACTCTACTCTTTGTGCATAAGTTGTGCAGTAATAGACTCGACTTTTACTCGTAGGGCCCTAACATTCTTTAGAAAATCAATAAAATATATCAGGTTAAAATGACCTGATACTAATTATATTTTGTTAATCTAAGATATATCTGATCTCATCAATTCTGAACACTTCAACCTCCTCTAAAGAGCTAACTCACTTCCCCTAGCTTTTTTTTGCATGATCATCTTCTCCTTAGGTTATCAAGTAGCAGTGGGGGATACATTTGATATTATCCCCTTTGTTTCACGATGATCATTAGGTATAATCTCCTATAACTACACCACCAAGACCGGGTAACAAAACAGTGGTCTGAGCAGCAGATTCCATAGCCGTAGTTCTTCCTCAGAAATGGCAGGAGTTAGAGGACATTTTTTGTTCTAGATAGACATAATTCCTACTTTTCACAAGCACAGACTACTCAGAAAAAACATGACTCACTTACATGAGGATAATGATCATAGATAGTACACTTGATCAGTAACCTTTTGATGTAAAATGGATTATCAACTTTCCCAAACATATAGATATCTTGTTTTCTACATTAATTCAAATACCTGATTGTCTATCCTCAACTATTGTAACTGTTGCAGACAGTAAAGTACATAGAAACAATCCAACAAGCATTTCTACATGGTAGAATCAAAAATTGATTTCCAAAAAAAATGGCTCTCATCAATTTACCTAATATCACAAATAAAGCTAACCAGTTTAATTTATTCTCGAAAGCGAAATAGTTTGCATCTCTATTCTTTGTCAAGTCTCGGAGTACATGCACTTTGAAACATACTTGGCTTTGAATTGTCGAGAAATTAAGGAATAAATAACTTTATCAGCGGTAGAAACACTTGCATGTATGAGTACATTACAGCATTATAATAAATCTAATCGAGAACACCAATAAACAATAATTTGAAGGTAGAAGGTGATTGAATTGAGGGAAAGATGATGACATTAAAACCTTACAGATAGAGAGCAAATTGGATATGGTAGTGAATTTAGTCTGTCTCAAGAAAGAAGGCAATCAGAACCAAAAAACCTCAGAAAATCACGCAGCAACATGTAAACTAACATATGTAGATGATCACGACCAAAATAATATACACATGGGTGAGAAAACAAAAATTCAACAAAAAGGTCTCTATGAAACTAATCATGAGCACGTTATGAAAAAGAGTAATGACTTAGTTATATAAGAACCGGTTGACAATCACAAAGCCAATACACAAGCAATATCTCTGCTATAAACTGCAAAAGATTTCCTGAAATATAGAATACATGAATACAAATAGTAGAGAAACAACCTTTGTACAGTTTCAATTAACTCCATAGTTAATGATATCTGGTAAGAGGTGACTAAGGGAAAAACTGGAAACTTGCAAATCAGTCTCCCTAACTTTAATAGCACTTGGTGGAATTCTGGGTGGTGTCATGCTAATAAAGAAGGAAGTATAAGAAATGGTGATAGGAATATTCCTGCCAATGCACACAAGTTCAGGATGTCAAAAATCTAACTTTGACATGTATTAGCTAACTAATCTACCGTCTACACATTCTGTACTAGCCTTTTAATATGTTCAATAACTGGAATAGAGTAGCGTTGGTGAAGGTATGGAAGTCCTTGACATACCTAGTTGTAGGTGTCACAATGATATCCACCATCTCAAAAATCTCCATATGGAAATACATTAACCTCCGCCTGCAAGAACCCAGAGAACATTGTTGATAGGTTCCAAAGTTATCAACTTAAAAGTTTTGACAACTAATTAAGTATAAAAGTAAACCTAAGGTAAAATACAACTATCCAATATTTTCAGTCATTTCAGATGCCACCATATTTCTAGATCAATAAATCAGTTCTCAAATGACAACAATAACATCAGACCAGTTCTTAGATGGAGTCTGAAAGAAATTCATGATTAGGTTAGATTGCTTTAGTGTAGGTAGCTTCAGAAACATGTCTCACCTAAGCCGCTGAGTAGCAACATAGTCTGCTGCAATAAATGAATGAAAAAATGCCAAATTTGTACGAGTATCATATGTCAATATTACTCCTTTCCTGGTGACAAGAAAAGAAGAAGAAAACAGATAACAAGGATGATTTGAAGTTGCTTCCAATAAGACGTTGAGATCTAGTAAGAAGACATGTGATGTACTAGAATATTCAAAGAGAAATTGTGTACCCGCCACCACAGTCTGGATTCAGTGTGCACAATGATTCAGGCCCAATAGAAACAATATGCGCAATGCGCATCTCATGCAACTCTGGTATTACAATCTCTACAGTCGTCAACCACGAGATGAAGAAAAATCTTGAACATACTAACAATCTTGTAGAGGGATAGATACTCATAATATTGACGCTAATTGTTCCAACAATTCTAAACCAAAGCTAGAAGATACACTAGCCAAAGTCCAAGATAAAGTAATGGAGAATGTAATAATAGAAATAGACATACTTTGCATCCATGCTTTTCTCATAGTCGACTGAGAACATTCTCACACTTGTCAAATATATCAGTTGAGAAGACATCATTAAACTACTACAAGAGTAAGTTGCTATGAGATTATCAAATAAATAATGGTTATAACCAAAAAATAAAAATTCAATGCACAACAATGTAGTCACATCTGCATATTTTCCGAGGCGCAGTGATTCTAGAGATCGCGAGCTCTCTTGTGAAGGGAAATTAGGTAAATAAGGGAGGGAGTGAAAGAAATAGAGACAAATGATTAAATTACAGAAACAGAACTTCTAATCCATAATGATGTCCAAAATTAATAAGTTAAAGCTAGGACATGAAGTTCCTTAAGCAATTTATACACAGACTAAGAGAACCAAATGCAAACATTAAGACATGCAGTTCCTTAGGCAACTTATACACATGAAGTTACTAAGAAACATATTAGTGAAAGCTACAATTCTACATCAACATTTCAAAAACATAATGCAAAATGAAGACTTGTATCCAAAGTAGAAAACAATGTTTGCAGCCACCATTGTAAGGAAGAAGGAAAAGATGCACGATCTTTGCAAGGTGAGGCACGAGGTAGAAGGACTATAGTTCCCATAAGGAAAGCTCATTAAATCAGGGCCTGTTTATACCTTCACGTCTCTATGTAGAACACGGTTGGAGTGCAGATAATCTACCGCCAATAATAGCTGAGTCAGCCATTTGCAGAGTTTCTGCAGAGGAAAAAGTTGGTGAACACATAAACTTTAAGTGAATCACTCTAGTATGAGAACCCATTATGATGGAAGTTGTATCTAAACTACCTCTTCTGGGAAGAGAGCTCCCCTAGACGTCCTTATGATCTTTGCCCTGATCACCCAAAAAAACAAAAAGTCATTATCTTCATATTACACCATAAAACATTCCCATTATCTTATTGCTTTCAACCTCATAATTTAGGAAAAGATTCTTCATATAAAAGAATCATAGGGTAGTTCAGTCTACAAATATATTTTGACCATCTTTTGGGAGAAACGTAAAATTCATATGTCAATAAGTATAAAAATGCTAGCAAGGCTAGGATAACCACTCACATATCTCCACCTTCACAATAGTTGGTAAAGATGCATATCCAGTTCCCCTGAAAGAAAAACAAAGTCAATCCTATTTTAAGGTAGCTCGATATAGAATATTTCTCAAGTCAAGGATAATCATTTCAGTTCCAACCGGACGCCGGCGCAAATTTCAGAAGGTGTAGCTATCGACGAATTCATTTCATCTGGAATACAAGAGTAGAACTACCAGAAATAGTTATGAAGCTCCGGTATACAATGGTGTGCTCGTCTAACCAGAATTAGAGCATGGAGTCATATTGTCTACTGAAAAGGCAGGGCTTGATGTGGCCTCATATGGCACTGGGCAACATGTGAAGCTTCTTGGTCCTTCTATTAGGGAACCGAATGTTTACGACTTCGGCACTCCTTATAAGCAGATGTTCGATAACCTCTGTCGCAAAGACGTTAAACTGTACAGCCGAAATGGAATACTGCCTATGCTGAAAAGGAACTTGGGTGTAAAGCTTGCACCTCAACGTTGGCAGGATAATGCAGCTGATGGTCCCTTTGATGTTGTAATTACATTTGAAGAAAAACATTTTGATTTGGTGCTTGAAGATCTTCATATCGAAACCGTGTTCTCTTGAAGCCGGTTCTTGTTAGCAATTTAGATATTAAAGATAACCATGAGGAGGCAGCAATTAGATGTCATCTTGCTTTGATTTTGTGTCAAGAACTTGAAGCGACTGAAAATTGGGAGGACACAATTGATGATATTATCAATAATTTTGAGAAATAGCACAGACGGAAGCTCCTGTACAGTATCTCCTTCTAATGAAAGGATGGCAATCTTAAGAGTGTTAATGGAACTATCAGTTTGTTCTGTGTCCAATTTGTCTGCTGGTATGCTGGGAACACATTGCCTTTTTATGTATAACCTTCCCAGTTATGGCAAGTGACAAAAAGATTGCTTCAAAAGCCTTTGTTGGCTCGGATTATTTTTGCAGTGCTCATGCTTCTCTGTTCTCATAAAAAAAATCAATTCCAAAGCCTGTTCTAGAAACTAATTAACATAATACCTTCTTGACCCAATCATCCTTGTACCCCACGATATATGGATGTCTTAACTTAGCTATCAGATCCATCTGCCATAGAATAATACATACACAGATATCATCAGATATCAATTAGCTTAACATTATGCAGACCTATCTACTCAACATAATATCATTCCAAGCTAAAGTGAAATTTACTCTATAACCTGCAGACACAAGGTTCTAAAACAACACAATGGCTTGCACGACGATTGTGCTTCGCTTTCAAAACCTAATGACTTTCTAGAGTGAAATTAATATGATTCGATTAACAAGACCCTATAGCTATTCAACTTAATTTCCAACTGATGATGCTAAAATACGAGCTAGACTCCCAAAATCGTACAAAAAACACAAGAATATCAAAGCCCTAAAGATAAAATTTAGACTTTCAAAGATAGAATTTCTAACCTGACAAAACCCTATTCCAACAAAATCGTGTTCTTCAGTGAGAAGCTCTTCAACTCTTCAGTGAGAAATCTGTGAGAAATTGTGTTCTTCAGCGAGAAATCCGAGAGAAAATCGTGACAGAGAAACTTAGCTTCTGTTCATCTGTGACAGAGAGACTTAGCTTCATCTCTTGATCAGTTCTCCAGACATACCTTCAGCTCTTCAGTTCATCAAAGAAAAGCATGTTCTTCGGTTCATTAGAGAAAAACATGTTTTTCTGATTTGGGGAAAACAAAGTTTTAATGTTTTATGAATTATTATTTTTTCCCAATAAAAATGGGAGGGAGAGTTAAAAATGTTGGAGGGAATATAATATTTTAGTGAAAATTTTAAGGCCACACTTGTAGTGTGTTGTTTTTACAATTATAAAAATAGGACACTTTAAAAGTGTGGCCATATATGTAAATAGTTGTTGCCAATTATATCATATTGTAACAACCCTTATAAAGTGTAGTTTATACCATTAAAGAGTACACTTTGCAAGTGTTGTCAATATTATCGAAGCTAAAAGTTTAAAACTTGGGCTACGCTTTAAAAGCGTCCCCAAAAATATTTTAGGCAACACTTTACAAGCGTTGTCTAGAATTAGTATGGCCGTAGGCCTAAAATGGTGTAGTGCTCCCAAGGGGGAGATGGGGTGCTTAGGTACCAAGGTCAGTTATGCGTTCCGGATGTTGATGGTTTGAGGGAGCAAATTCTAGAGGAAGCTCATAGTTCTCGATATTCTATTCATTTGGGAGCCACCAAAATGTACCGTGATCTATGGGAAGTCTATTGTTGGAATGGTATGAAGAGAGATATTGCGGAATTTGTAGCCAAATGTCCTAATTGTCAACAAGTTAAGGTTGAGCATCAAAGGCTGGGAGGTTTACTACAAGATATACAAATTCCCACTTGGAAGTGGGAATATGTGAATATGGATTTTATTATGGGTTTGCCTCGTACTCGAAAGCAACATGATTATATTTGGGTCATTATAAATAGGATGACAAAATCAGCCCACTACATTCTCGTCAAGGTTTCTCATTCTGCGGAAGACTATGCTAAGTTGTATATAAATGAGATAGTGAAGTTGCATGGGTCTCTTTGTCTATTATTTTGGATCGGGGAACTCAATTTACTTCTCACTTTTGGAAGTCATTCCAAAAAGGACTTGGTACTAAAGTTAAGCTTAACACGATTCTTCATCCTCAAAGTAATGGGCAAGCAGAGCGTACCATCCAAACATTAGAGGACATGTTAAGGGCATGTGTTATAGATTTCAAACGTAATTGGGATGACCACTTGCCAATAATAGAGTTTGCCTACAATAATATTTACATTTCTAGTATGGATATGTCTCTCTTTGAAGCCTTCTATGGTAGGAGATGCAGGTGTCCGGTTGGTTGGTTTGAAGTTGGTAAAATTGCTCTCATTGGTCCCGAATCGGTTTATGAAGCTATTGAGAAAGTTCGGCTCATTAGATAGTGGTTGATATTGGATAAAAGTAGACAAAAGTGTTATGCTGATGTGAGAAGAAGGTATTTAGAATTTGAAGTTAATGATTGGGTCTATTTGAAAATCTCACTCATGAAGGGTGGATGAGATTTGGCAAGAAAGGGAAACTTAGTACCTAGTATGTAGGCCCATATCAAATGTTGAAGCGCATTGGGAAGGTTGCCTATGAGTTGGCTCGTGTTCATCTGGTATTTCATGTTTCTATGCTTAAGAAGTGTATTGGAGATCCGATATATATCCATTATTCCCGTAGAAGGGTTGGGAGTGATGAAAGCCTTTCCTATGAAAAGGTTCCTATAGAAATCCTAGACCGGTAAGTCAACAGATTGAGAAACAAGGAAATAGCTTCCATGATGGTTTTATGGAGAAATCATTTGGTTGAGGGTGCTACTTGGGAGGCCGAGGACGATATTAAGTCCTGATATCCTCATCTCTTTCTTTATACTCCTTTTCAAGCTTTATGTAATTAGCTCTCTTGAGTTTTATTGTTTTGGGAGTTGTGTGAGTTGTATGTGCTTTTCCATGATTTCTTTATGATATGCATGTTCTTGATGAAATTCATGTTTAGTAAGGAAATGAGTTTCATGATTTACGTCCCTCATGTTGTTATGCATTTAGTATGAGTTGCCTATTTGACTTCATGAGATTAGTTGATGAACATGCTTTAGTATGCTTTTAAGAGTAATTGCATATTGGGCTCAATGATATTGTGTGAGCATTATTTTAGTTGGAGAAAATAGTTCTTCCTATGAATATGAGAAATGTTAAATTTTCAAGCATAATGGGTTGGTAGATGTAGTTCCTACTTCCTTGTATTACATTGACTATGTTTTAGATGGAGTTATGGTTTCCTTCATTAAATTGTGCATTATTTTTATGTTTCATTCATGATGGGATGCTAGTCTTGAGTCTTCACTTTTGTAAGGTGTCTAGATCTTCATTCGAGGACGAATGTTCCCAAGGGGGAGAGAATGTAACACTCCTGAAATTAGTAGGCTAAAACTAGAGCTAAACGTTAAGGTTAGAGTCGAGGAAGGAGGGCAAGGACCAAGGCAAAATGCCAAGGGCCAAGGCAAGGGCCAAGGTTGCCCAAGCCTTGCCAAGGCACTGCCCCAAGACCACGAGGGCCTTCACGACCAATAGTGGTCACCACAAGTCGTGGTGCCACTGGTGGAGGTGGAGGCAGTAGCCTCCTTAAGGCTGCCTCAAATTGATTCCTCCACACAAGCCATTTCACGGCTTATGAAGCCTTAGACGGCTCGTGGAGCCCTTCGTGGAATTTCCTTGGGTGTGCGAGCTAAAGGCACAAGCTTCCAAGTTACTGCCTCAAGACCACGGATGGGACCACGGCTCGTGGAGCCCCACGTGGTCCCTGGCAGCTCACTTTAAGTGAGGGCTATTTTTGGGATTTCATGTTTATGTCCAATTGAATTGGAGTCATTTGCGGTATGTTTGGGGTCACTATATAAGTCATTTTAAGTCAAAATACACCCATTCAACCCATTATTTCCTAAACCCCCAAACCAAATCCCAAAAGGTCATCTTCTCTCTAAATTTCTCTCTCTAGAACTCAAGGAAGAAGACGAGGAAAGTAGAATCTAGGGCTTGAAGAAACAAGGCATTTTCACTCAAATTCTTTGGAGAATCATAATTAAGGTATGGTTTATCTTCATCCATGGAGTACCTTCAAAACCCATAATTTCTAAGCTAGAAATCCCAAAAGTTAGGATTTGACTTTAATCTCATGGATTCCTTTCAAATTTATTTTTAATGATTGAATTATGTTTTATTATGGATATATTGATGATTTTATATGGTCTTATGTTGAATTCCCAAAGAATCCATGAACTCCCCTATTTTCCCCAATTTGGATCTCAATGTGCGGGTAATGAGTGATGCTAGTAGAATATGATAGAATTATGCATGTAGTAATTGAACTACTTGAATTATGTTATCATCCATGTCTAATGTAGTAATTCTAGATGTGTTGATTGAATGTGATCCTTGAAGGGTAAACTATGATGATGTTGTTGCGTTGATTGAGAGGCTATTCTCATGAACACATAATGAACATAATGTGGAAGGTTTTCTCACATGATGATGATTAAAAGGTTTACAGGCTATTCTCACCTATTGAATCAATGATCTATCTTATGAATTATGTTGGATTGAGTGTCAAGGCACTCTTCCATGAATATAAACTTAAGTCAAGACTTAATATGTACTCTATGAGAATTATGCTAAGCACCGAGTGGATATTGACTATGAGATGGAAACCTTTCCGTGAGAAAGATCGGGTTTCTAGAAGCGAACTCTTGAGATGGGAACCTTTCCGTGAGATAGGCCGGGTTTCTAGTAACAATCTCCTCATCCCATACACTATGTGCCTCCATAGGTCTTTAGCTAGTGGATCCACCTAAAAGTTATTATGATGATGGTCTTACCTTATGCAAGTAGGATAAATCTTTTTGGTGTGGGTATCACTGGATTCCATGTTAAGCTCACATGGTCTATGTCGGTTAAGGTTTATTCCCACTATGAGCAAGAAGATGAATTATGAACTATGGTTACTGAAGAAGCTTTACATAGCATGGGTAGGATTATGGGATCTTATTTATGCATTGCACAAGTAGACTTTAAGGGTACTTATGGTATGTGATTAACGTTTAAAACACACCTCATCCATTTCTAGGTGTTCAATGAGCGTAAATTAGTATAAAACCCAACTAAATGAGTTGGGGTCGAATCCCACAGGGAGTGGTAAGTGTTTCAAATTCAATTTTTAGATATGAACATGGTCAAATCAGTCATAGGAATAAAAGTTATCGAATAAAGACATCATTCAAATCAGGGGATGACACGAATGTCAAATGGGGGTTTTGATTATAATTATCAACTACAAACAGTAGCAAACAATATGAATTAACAACAATGAGATGGGTTCTTGGGATGTGATCGACTATAGGCTAATATAGACGAATGGGTAATTGCAACTATTAGTAAATAGATAGATATTAGTGAGTAAGCTAGTCTATAGAGGAATCAAATTTTGTCTCGAACAATTTACCCCGAATCAAGTTGATTTATCTCGAATATCAACAAGCATGCAAAATAATACTAGCCCGCACCTTAATCCATTCACTCTCTCGAGCTAAATGTGTGAAATTGGGTTTAGGATTCACTCTCTCCGGCTGAACCCAGGTCAACCCAATACCCACAAACCATCAATCAAAAACCTTGATTCTAGAACCTCTCTCTCTCTCGCAAGCCAAGAACACAAAGCTAGAACTGTATTTGCAACTACGATTCTTAAATTAAACCACAATTAATGATTGAACTCAGTTCTAAATAGCATTAAACTAACAATTAGCAATACCCATAAACTAAATTAGCCCATAATCACATAATCACACCCCAAGAATTGGGGTTTTAGCTAGACATCATAAAAAGATAAAAACTAGAGAAAATTGTCTCCCTGTTCAAAATAAATTAAAAATATATGATCTAAGATGCTAAACTAAATGTTCAAAAGCGTATTTATAGTCGCCAAAAGTGTGCTACGAAGAGTCACTCGGCGAAGTAAGTTGGGCTCGCCAAAACACTCAGCGAGCCACCCTTTGGTCTATTCCATCACCCTTTTGCCTTGGTACTCAGCATCCTCCAAGTCTGTAACATTGGGCGATCTATCTTGTCTTCCCAAAATCACTCGCTGATCCGCCGATT